TAATTTTTTTTTTGTGTTTCTCCTTTTGGTGTCATGTTTGTATGTTGTGTTGGGGACCCTTTAATTTCTTTTCTTTTTCCCCCAGGTCCCTCAGCTGTGAGGAGTTGGGAGTTCTGTCTCCTGTGTTCCTGCCATGCAGGTGTGTATTTTGCTTGTTCAAGTCATGACTTGTTTTTGACTAAGCCTTTCGCTGGAGTAGTCTCTAAGCCTGAGTGGTTTTTTTTTGTAGTCTCTATTAATGTTCTGGGGTGTGATTCCAGGAACTGGACTGTTTCTGGCTGTAGTGGTGCCGCTTTTTCTAAAATGGGATGAGTACCTGGTGTGTTTCTGTTCTGTTTGTTCCTGGTCACTTTTCCTTGTCAAAAGAGGGATAGAGTCTAGATAGCAGCGTGTGTGTGTGTCATTTTGAAGGGACGAGCTGGGGAGCTTTCTCATGTTACCAGCTGTGCACTGGGGTGTTTTGTACAGTATAAGTAGTTTTGGGGGGAGCAGGAGGCTGACCACTTCTTGGAGGTCTCTGTGGTGTTTCCTACTGCAGGAGGCTTGCTTTCCTTAGCTGTGGGTTAACACTGGCTTAGGAGGTTACCTGTAAGGCCTAATGTAGCAGGGAAGCAAGTTGAAACAAGGTGGGGGAAGGGGAGAAAAAAGGCATACTCTGCAAAGCTTGGGACTCTCTGAGGAGTTTTCTTATTGCTGGCCTAAGTCAAGTTCAGCAGCCTGCTCTGCTCTGTGAAACTGCTGGTTTCCCCTGCATGTGCTGTTGCTGTGTCCTGGCAAGAGTCTCCTCTYAGGAGGAGAGATCTGTGGACACCTTGTGCGGCCCTAGATATGGTGCAGTAATGGTCTGAGCCCAGGTATGGCAGGGACTGGACAGCCTTGGCTGTCACACTTGGGGCATTCCTGGCAGAGCTGTCCCAAGGGATTACTTGAAGAGGCCCTTGGGTTGCCCTCAAGCCCTTTCAGCAAGGTTGCACACAGGGCCTAGTGCTGCTGGTTTCCCTCCACACCCCTATGTGCCCTTGGGGAGCTGTTGGCTCTTCCTTCTGGGTCCCTGGAATGGGAGGTGGGAAGCTGGGTTTCTCCTCCAAGTTAAGTAAAGCGGGTGAGGGTGGCTTAGAGAGAAGGTGCTGGGACCTGCTCAAGAGGAGCCCCTGAGAGCTCCAGTACAACCCTGTCCTTTCCCTGAGTGTGGCATGGGAGTGGGAAGGAAGCAAGGAGGGAGCTSTTGGCCTGAGCCCTCAGCCCTGTCTTAGGGAAGCCTGGTGTTTCTGGATGGCCCCCAAAGCCCCAGGTTTGGGCTGTTGGGGACTGACAAGTGGAAGCTGCCTGCCTTTTGTGGCAGAAGGGTGGGAGGAAGTGAGGGGGGCTCCCCCTGACAGCAGCCCTTCCCTGTGATGTGGGAGAGGAGCTGCTGGGTCCTTCCCCCTTGCAGCAGAGGCCGGGCCTGCCTGTGCTGCCCCCAGCAGAGCTGGCCCTGGGCAGCCCTGTGCTGAGCTGGGGCTGCTTGGGGTTGGGGCAGGCTGTGGCAGGGGACTAGCCAGGGGGCCTGTCTGCTGGCAGTGGTGGGCTGCTTGCTGAGCTGTGGGTGGAGGCTCTCCCTTTCCTGGGTTGTGACAGATGGGTTTTATCTTGTGTGTGTTGTGGCTGTTTCTGGAGCCTGGGGGCTTCTTTCTGGGAGCTGCTCAGAGGGTGTTTTTCCAGTCCTGTCACACGGGTGCTGGTGGCTCCTCAGCAGTGTCCCTCCCTCCCGGTGGCTCTTGGTGTCAGTCCCAGTTTGGGCCCCTGGTCC